CCGCGGGGCTCGGCACCCGGCCGCCGCCAGCTCGCGGAACAGCCTGTGGGTTCCACAGACCCGGCCGGGGCCCCGAGCTTATATAGCGCCCGCGGCCTGCTGCATGGGGAGAGGTTCGCGCCCCTCCGCCCCTCGCGCCCCGCTCGCCGCGTAAACAAAACGGCTGCGCGCGAAGGCGCGGCGGCCGGGCGGTGTGAGCGCGTGCGGCTCCCAAATGGCCCGGCGAGGGCGTTTGTCCGGCCAGCGTTAATCGCTCTTCCCACTTGGCTGCGGGGAGAAAAACAACATTCGCCCGAGCAGCCAATTTCCAAGTGAAAAGGTTAGGAGGGGATAAAATTAACGGATTCTACACGTTTTGTGTATTTCTGCAGAAAGGCCGGGTGGTTGGTAATTGCTTGACTCGCCCAAGTCTCTTGGCTTTTTGGCCTTTGGCAGATGAAACCGATCCTGCGCCCTGTATTCTACAAGCGGAGATGCTGAGGATATTAAAAGGAATGGCCTTAACTCTCTTCAGGGGACAGTACAAAGATGGGCGAGTGGATGGACTCCTTATGAAAAGAATGTCGGGCTTTTTAAAAATGCATTAACAGTCTGGGTTCGCATATCTGCCTGTTATCATTTGAAGGTAATACAGAATTCATAAGAGATGAATTGTAAAACTTTGAATGTTCCAGCCAAGAGGGCCAGAGATTGGACTCATGAGCTTTTTTATATTATCTTCTCATAATATAATGTGAGTTTCCCCAACATCTTAGTAGCCCCCAGAAGATAAGGCTTGAGTTTCATCTATACAATTCGGTCACTACTTGGCATTGCCACTCAATGATAATTAGAAAAATATTTTGTGGGAGTGGAGTATGTGTAAAATGATAATGAAATCTTGACAAGTTATGATATGGGACAAGTTAGTCAACTTCTCTGTGCCCTGTTTCTCTTGTTTAAATTACCCGTCACCTTCTACAGTGGTCCATTAAACATGGTAAAAAAAAAAAAAGTATTATGCTTCAAAGGAAAGATGATATATAAATGCCACTTTTTTCAAAATGTTTTAAATAATAGAGCTGACTTCCTTGTAAAAGTTGTAGATAAAAAAATTTTAAAACCTTGAATGTAAGCTGTAGTGTCTCTACTGTTCATTCAGTTACTGCATAGGAAAATAATCCACTGAATAATCCACCTGGGGCATATAAGGATCTGCCCATCAGGAAGGTGAGATAAGGTTTGCTTCCTATAATGAAATCAGTATCAACAGGTACTCAATGTGTGTCACAATGCCCTACAACAGCAATTTTCAACCTTTTTCATCTCACAGCGCACATAAACTAATTACTAAAATTCTGCAGCACACCAAAAAATATATATTTTTTCCCAATCTGACAAAAAAAAGGTATANTAGTAATTAGTATTAGAATTTTAGTAATAAATTCTGCAGCACACCAAAAAATATATATTTTTTCCCAATCTGACAAAAAAAAGGTATAATTTTTATTCACTCACACCAGACGGCTATTGTGTTGGCTGTTGTCATTTTTTTATTTGACAATCTAAGGGAAAAGAGTCCAGTGTCCCTGACTAAATAGTCAGATATTGCATGTTTTAAAAATTCTTGCTGCACACCAGTTCAAAATCGCTGCTCTGGAATTATTGTTAGGCTAAATAAAATAAAGCATATAGAATACTTACTACAGTGCCTAACACATAGTGAACTTCCAACAAATTTTAAGCTATTTAAAATACATAAGCCTTTAACAGATGTTGAGCTATCTGATGAAATGGCCTATCATTTCAATTGTGTAACCATCTTCTGAGGTACCTGTAATATGCTAAGTACTGTGCTTTCCAGATATGGTGGTGAACGAGAGACCTCGCCCATCTGTAAGGGGATTATGGTCATCGCTATCTGTAGCCATCACAATGGCCACATAAGCAAAAGTTTGTAAAAAGTGCCATATTCAGTAACAGAAGCACATTTTACTCAGAGAAGTGGCATGAGGGAGGAAATATATATGTCTGGTTGGGATAACCGTGAAAGTCTTCTTAGAGTAAATGGGACCTAACCTGGAATTTCTAGAAGGTTCAGTCAAGAAATAGTATAGTGAGCGTGTGTGTGTGTGCAGGAGTGGGAGCAGAAGGAACAGTGCTCCTAGGGTTAGGTGTTGCTAGAGCAGAGATGTGGTTGAGATAGAGAGGAGTTGGACTATTAAGAGCCTCGTGTGCCATCGCAAAGCCTTTCGGCTTGATTCTATAAGTGCTTGTGAAGATTTTTAAGCAGAAGAGAGGAATGGTCAAAGTTTGCATTTTATGAAAACCACTCTGGCAGCCCTATGGAAGATGGATTTGGGGAAGGCTGATAATACAGACAAGGAGATCATTTACAAAGTCACCACAGTAGTTCAGGCAACAGATCATGAGATGCATGAAAGTGGAGATGAGATATGCTTCCAGGTTTTCTAGCCTGGTTAAGTGGATAGAGGTGGGGATGGCTCAAAGACAAGGAAAACAGGGAATATAGGAGGAAAGGCAGGTCGGATGCTTTGTTGTTGATTTATCTGTTAATAGGGTGCAGGGGGGAAAATGATGAATTTGGTTTTGGATCTTGAATCAGGTCAAGCTAGGCTATATGGCAGTAATAACTCCAAAATCTCAGAGGCTTAACTTAATAGAGCTTTATTTCTCACTCGTGCTTATGTCCACTTTCAGTTGGTGGCAGATCTGCTCCACATCACCCTCACATAAGGATACAGCTGACGGAGCCTCTTTCCTCTGCAATGTTGCCACTTGTCATAACAGGAGGAAGGGAATAAAATTATGTGTTTTTAAAGGCTTCTGCCTAAAAGTTACACACCTCACCTGCAATATGTTTTACTGGCCAAAACAAGTCATATGACACAGCTAATTTCAAAGGAGCAGATGTACAGTTTCACCATGTATCCAGAAAGAGGAGAACCAGAAATAAACAGCATTACAAGAGTAGCATAATCTGCCCTTCTGGCGACCAAATATTCAGTTAACTCTCCTTCTTGCATGTAAAATGCAGTCACTGCAAAGAAAGGAACCCAGGCGTGATCTAACAGGTTTTAGAAGGCTTAGTAACACATAGGCAGAGAAGATACCCAGGGGACAACCAGAGATAGGAGATATGGAGTTCAGTAGAGTTTAGAGCTAAGGATTTATATGTGGGAATCATAATAGAAGAGGTGGTAACTAAAGCCATAGGAATTGATTGGTTTTCCCAGAGAAATTTTGTAGCTTGAAAACAGGACCAAGGACAGAGCTCTGGAGAGCAGTATTTGATTGTAAACTGAGAGAGCATGCAAAATAAGTAAATAAATAAATTTACAAAATAAGATCTCACTGAAGAGAAATGGTGAAGACGGTAGAAGCTGCATTCGTGGAGCAGGTGTGGTGGAAACATGAGATAAAAGAATTCCAAGAAGGAAGGACAGGTCCAAGACATTAAGTGCCACCAAGGGATCAACAAGATAAGGGTACGTGTTAATTGAATTTGGCAACTAAGGGGTTTAAGTGACTTTAAAACAACATCTTGAGTGTATGTGACAGAAACGTTTTTACCATAAGTTGAGCTGGAGAGGTGAAGAAATAAAAACAACGAGAAGAGGCTACCATTTGAGAGGGGGAAAGAGAGAGAAAGGGAATGGTGAGTCAGTAGAGGGGCTTTCTTTTTAGGGTGCGAGAAAGGATAAGATGATGAGAGGAGGCAGGAGGACAGAGCCTCTAAAGAGGAGGGACTGGATGATGGCTTATGGGCCCCTGGGAGGAAGGAAGAAGTGAGGTTAGTCGCCCTGAAGAAGATTCTCATGCAGTGGGAGGGTTTGCATCAGTGATGTATAAGTGATGGATTTATAAATGATATAATGCACATCTGAGAAAGAAGTTTAATCAGGGGGAATAGATCTGGTGTGGAGGAATGGTGTAATGCAATAATAAGACATAAGTCTGAGAGAACATCAATTGTCTTAAAATTGTGGGAAAAAAGACTGCATTACTAAAAAGAAAAAAAAAAGGAGAATCAATTAATAAATATTTGGCCAAATTTGCCAAATTTAGGTAAACCAAGACATATAACTATGGATTATTAGAGCTATAAAATCCCAAATTTTCCATTTATAAATTCTGTTTATGCCACCTATTTACACAGATGCTGAACCTGCTTTCCAGTGTGGGCAGGTCAGTATCTGTGAGTTTGGTGTTTTGTTTAGATTTTTAGATTCCACATGTAAGTGAGATTATACAATATTTGTCTTCCTCTGCCTGAGTTATTTCATTTAGCATAGTGCCCTCAAGGCCTGTCCATGTTATCACAAATGGCAGGATTCCCTTCCTTTTATGGCTGAATAATATTTCGTTACATATGTCTGTGTATCTTCTTTATCGATGGATGAAGTGTCCATTGATGGACACTTAGGTGGCTTCCATGTCTTGGCTATTGTAAATAATGCTGCAGTGAACATGAGAGTGCAGATACTCTGTTTTTATTTCCTTTGGATAAATACCAGAAGTGAAATTTCTAGATCATATGGTAGTTCCATTTTTTTTGAGGAACCTCAATACTGTTTTCTATAGCAGCTGCACCAATGAACATTTCCAATCGCAGCGCCAAGTGTTCCCTTTTTTCTACCTCCTCACCAACACTTGCTATTTCTTTTCTTTTTGATAATAGCCATTGTGTCACTTTGAGGTGATATCTCATTGTGGTTTAGATTTGCATTTCCCTGATGATTAATGATATTGAGCAACTTTTCAGGTACCTCTTGGCCATCTGTATGTCTTCTTTGGAAAAATGCCCATTAAGATTCTCTGCCCACTTTTTAATCAGATT